GACACCTTTTCCCGGTGTTGATTGGCTGGCCTGTATGTCCCAGCTCTCTCTAACCATCCTGCTTCACTTTGATTCCAGCTGGATGATTCCCGACCAGTGAGCGTGGGTTGAGTTCCTTCACGTGTATTTTTTTCCTGCCGGCATGTTGCCCCGCACCCTAGTCCACCATGCAAGCTGTCTCTCGATCTGTATGGACGCCATGAGCAGGACTAATCTGCCGCTGCAGCCTGTCTGTCTTTGCAAGATGTCCACAGTCTCTAATCCGGCACTCTGAGCAATAGCTGCTTGTTATGTGGACGTGTTACATCTGTCTTCTCTGCAGTGTCATGCTCTTCTGTTTGAGAGGATGGATCGTTTGCTCTGGCCTGTTTAGCCTGCTCTCTCTCATTCACTACTTTCCCGTCTTCCGTGATTCTGTGTGAGCGGGTCTGTCGCTCGGGCCGATGCAGGCGCTGTAGGATTTCGCTTCCATTGCACTGCTGATATTAATGAGGCACTTCATCAGACACCGCACTTTTTCATTTGTTGTTTATGTCATCGTCTTCTTCGGCCCGAGTGGGAGACTGACCGTGGGGGGGGGGGCTAGGGGGGTGTTACTGTCAGTATTTGTCTGTCCTGCCCAGACGCGTCACTCTCTCCATCTCGTCTTTTTTTTGTAGATCTTTAGCAGTGGTTATTCCATCAGCAGCACCGTTACCTCACCTCGCTCCACGGTAATTCATCCCCCCCCCCCCCCCCCCCCCCCCCCCCCCCCCTCCCCCCCCCCCCCCCCCCCCCCCCCTGCTGGCATGGTGTAGCCAGAGCACCGGGCCAGTGGTACGAGTGAACAGCATGTGAAGGAGGACAGCGGGGCTGAGGACGTTAGAGTCTAAGACCCCTTTGGCAGGGGACACAGGAATCCATGCAGAAACGGTGATGTCTTCCCCATCCAGCAGTGTTTCCCAATCCGGTCCACGTTTTTGCTCCTTCCCAGCTCCCTGCCAGACAGTCCACATTGTTGCTCCCTTCCATGAGCTGGAAGGGAGCAAAAACATGGACCGTCTGTGGATCCCCGAGGAGCGGATTTTGAGACACTGTGCTTCCAGAATAGCTGAAACGTGAAGCAGAAGCTACATCACCAGCGTGTTAAATATGTGGTCTGTTGTTTCATAAGCAGCTCAGACTGCTTTGGGCCGTCTCCTTGTCTACAGGACTGAAATGAGTTAGCAGAAAATAAAAACAAGGTATATAAATATGTTTAGATATTAAAATTAGCTTTTTGCTACATATGCAAAATGCGATACTAGGCTATATTATTGACTAACTAAATTAATATATTAATAAAATTTATGTTTAAAGCTTAACTAAAAGCTTGCACTCTTGTAGTTCAGTTAGGTACTGATAACAGCCTTACAAATGGTTTTTGTGCATTACTTTCAGATGTTGCACAATTCGCTTTGTGATTTATAAATACTCGCCGTTGGATAATACTGCTGCCTGTTCCTCACTTCAGACAGCAAATGATGATTTTAAGTGGGATCACTTTAAAATTTGGGCCTTGTTTTCATACTGACGTGGGACCCCATGAGGCCTGCTGCCTTACACCCGTACCGGCGTGTTTGCGTTTAACGTCCTGCATCTACCTCTGTATTCTTTCATTATTGACAGCTTTGCCTTTCATGCTGCTGTGTATTAGCAGGCATGACCTGATGCTTTTCTGCTGGACTAGCATGTATGTCCGTTAGCATGCCTGCAAAGTAGCATGGATGAGAATTAGTGTACGCTAGTGAGAGTGTGAGTATCTGGCTTGTACACCAGTACCACCTGGTCGCAGCTGGGATCTGACTGGGGTTTCCTATGCCATCTTGACTGTAAGCCTTTTAACTTCTCAACAGTGTTCATATTTTGGGTTCTTACTCCATAACTGTGAATGTTATAGCTAGAGAATGAGGTTCAGAAGGAGGCTGTATTGTGATTTTTGTAGTTCTGTCTAAGAGTAACTATAATGCACAAGGAATTTAAAAATGTGCTGTAGCGTTAAAATGTTTGAGGTCACCTGCATACACGTGTGCAATCCTCAGCGCTGTAGCAGCCCTACCTCCACGCCGAGCGGCGCTCAGTCCCCCACGGGCCCCGGGGCCCCGTCCCTGATGCTAGAGGAGCGTCAGGGTCAGTGGTTGCGCCGGCGGAGACTGGACGGAGCCATAAACCGCGTTCCCATGGGCTTCTACCAGAAGGTGTGGAAGATCCTGCAGAAGTGCCACGGCTTGTCCATTGACGGCTACGTGCTGCCATCCAGCACGACCCGCGAGGTCAGGGCGCCACTCCGCGTGTCCTTCCCGGGGGTGGGGCTTGGTGTGGGGGTACCTCAAGGCCTTCATTCAGATCGACTCCCTGCTCACAGATGACCGAGGGCGAGATCAAGTTCGCCGTCCACGTGGAGTCCGTGCTGAACCGCACACCGCAGCCTGAGTACCGGCAGCTGCTGGTGGAGACGATTATGGTCATCGCGCTCGTGGCCGACGTGGAGGTTCAGAGCATCGGTGCCATCATCCACGTCGACCGCATGGTCCATGCGGCCAATGAGCTCTTCCGCCAAGACCAGGTGTGTGTTGCTTTGCGCACTGCACTCCACAGTTCACCACCTCCAGAAGAGTCATGTGACCGCCATGACCAATCAGAATAGCACAGATGTTCCTTCACTGTTTTTATTCGGAGTGGAAAGTCTCATTTGAATCCTCTATACATGGGCTCACTTTCTGTCAGTGTCCAGCACGGCATGTTTAAACCCCACCCAGCATCGTTAACCGGAAGGTTCCACGTGATGCTGCAGATTCCACTGGCTGAGCAGTTATGTGGCAGGGTGTCCCCAATGATCAGGTGACACAGGTGTCTAGGTCACAGTCTCTTTATCGGGAACGCCGCACGGAAACAGTAATACTCCACACATGTGTTTTAGCCAACTAAATTTCTGTCCATGAATTACAGGGTAAGGCAACCTCAAGGTGTTGTGGTCTCTGGTTACCATCTTCGTGTCGTTTTGAATACAGAAATCCCTTGGAGGCAGTGAGTACTTCCTGGAGCAGGACCCTTCCACTGGCATCTGTAACCTGTTCTATGACAGCGCCCCCAGTGGCCGCTATGGCACCATGACGTATCTCACCAAAGCTGCGGTCACCTACATGCAGGACTTCCTGCCCAACACCAGCTGCCTGATGCAGTGATGTGGCAGGATTGTCCAGATTCGTGCAGGTCTATCCGTAACGGGATTGTCCACATTCGGGCAGGTCTGTCCGTATCGGGATTTTCCGTAGAGGGGTGATTTTGCCTGTAGCATGATATAGATCTGCCTGTAGTAGGGCAGATCTATATCACTAATAAGCAAGGCATTGTTTTCCTAAACGCCACATTCACTTTTCAGTTTATGCTATTTAAAATAGAATTTTAAAATATAATCGTACCCTTTAAAGACTAATGCTTACTGTAATTATATATTATTTTGTTTTAACAGTTTTAAACCATGCTATGAATGTCATAATATGTACATGTATGTCGAATTTGCTGTAATTATGTTGTGTGTCCACTGTACATCCAAACAGACAGGGGGCGCTCTCCTTCACTGTTTCATTTTTACCTCAGGTGGAGTTTTTATTTACATACACAGGGTACAGAGTTTCTAGTGGGCCACACTTGGATACAGGGATTTTTCCTTCAAACTTGAACAGCACTGCTTTCTGCCAAAACGCAGTCATGGTTCTGGTATGGTTGGGTTTTAAAGGGCACTGCGTGATCCGCCAGTGACTGACGGCTGAATCGGAATAACCCCAGGCCGCCCTCCTGGCTCTGACGTCGCCGGTTTCAGACTGACACTCACGCCCATGCCTCTATGCTATGTAACTCCACTAAACAGGAACGTGTGCTTCCTACTTTTAAATGAAGGATATGTTGGTGCTTTTAAAAAGGTCGGCGTATATGGCATAGAGGTCTAAGAATATCGAGGACCACTTTAAAGATTACTTTGGGGAGGAAATGCGGTTGACCTATATATTTATTCTATTATTTAAACAGATATATAAGCTGTATGATCATACCTACATTGCACATTTTAATTGTAATGATTTGCAAGCAAACTGAGTTGAATACTGACCCTCAAAACACCATCAGTTACTGCAGACAACTGCAAAGCAGTGATGTCATAGAAAACTGATTTTATAAGACAGACAGCCTGTGTAACAGGAATCCGTATTTTTACCAGTGCAACACTGTTCTTGGGATGGACCACTTTCCTTCCAACGGGAACTATTTGTCATTATTGAAAATGATCACCCTGTGGGATATACTTAAAACCAGCCTAACAGCATTGCCTGATTGTTTATAAATGTGAGTATAAAATGAGTATTAGCCTCGTGTTCTGGGCATTGACTGACTTGTTTGTCTGTTTGCTGTCCTGCTAATAAAAGAGTTTTATTTCCGTCCCTGTGCCGAAAACCTGTATCTGACAGCAGTTATAGTTTAACCAGCCGAAGGTCTGGAATAGAGATGGCAGGTTTGGGTTTTCTCCTATACTAGTTGACCTCATCAGTACTGATTGGTTGACAACCGAATAAACTGGTTTGAAATGTCTAAGTTGCTGTTTTTATGTTTTAATTTTGCTGAGGGAGAGATGTTGCGTACATTTGGGGCGGCCAACCCTGATCCTGCAGTCCCTGGATTCAGCAGGTTTTCCATCCTCCCGGGTCTCTGATGAACCACAGCTGATCTCAGGCAGATAGTAACTCATCGGATAGGATAGAAAACCTGCTGGACACTGAGCATTCGGGGATCAGGGACCCCGACCCCTGGCATAATATGCTCTACTTAATAAAATGGCGGTTTGTCCCTTATAGTCATTGCTGTCTCCCCTGAGGCCACATTACGGAAAGAGGGAGAAGCTACTACCTTGTAGTTCACATCTGTTACATGTTCTAAAAATGACCAGTCAGTCAGTATGTAAACAAACAACTCCAAATGAAGGCAAGAAACCAGTTTCACATTTTATTTAAACAAGTCTAAGCATAAAACCAAAAATTGAACTGGATAACTTTACTCCTTATTAATGTATTTATATACATAAATACTTTTGAAAGAACTGAAGCATTGTTATTCACTGGGATATTTACAGCATCGGTTGTGTGCACTACAATGACATCATTCATCGCTAGACTGCCTAGTTTAACTTCTGTTAATGATGTTTCCCATGAGCAGTATTTCTGGTTGCTTGGCAACACAGTGTCGGAAAAATAAATCCAGATCACTAGGAGAAAATATTTTTTTTTTTTTTTTTTTTACTGTAACTTTTTATGCAAGTCATCTAATCCCATCTAACTTTTGGCTTTGGTCTGGATTCAAGAAAACACTACATCATGTAGTTAGCTTTAGAGGTAAAATTACATGGTAATATATGTGAAAAAGTGGATACAAACTACAACAGAATTATACAAATTAAGCTTAACATTGTACATACAAACCATCTGCGTGCCCCTAATCGGTGGGCTGGCACCATTTTTTGCTGAATGGAGACAAGCGGTGGAATTCTGGACAGGCACATTTGTAGCCACCTCTGTAGTTGATACAAGTGTGAGAACAGCCCCCGTTCTCAGACACGCACTCGTTGACATCTGGAGAGCAATTAGGAAAGAATTAAACTGCTGCCATCACAGCATAATGTATGAAGGTGTGCCTAACTGGCCTGAGATAGGGACAGATTATTATTAATGTGAATCCAAGTGAAACTGATCAGCATTGTTCCATTGGTGTGTTGCAGCAGTCTTGAGGTTAGAGTAGCCCTTGTGCAGGGTACATGACTAGGAGCAGGGAGCCACCCACCCGTACAGTGATAGCCGTCCGAGTCGAGCCTGTACCCCCGTGGGCAGATACAGCGGTGGGACCCGGGCAGGTTCGCGCATTTCCACTCGCACCTGTGCACTTCCTGGCACTCGTCAATGTCTGCAGGTGGGCGGGAGAGGGTCACTTCGAATATACTCCACACGGATCAGCTTTTTCAGTAGGATTTAGACGGCTATATTGAGGGGACCTGCTGGGCACTTTATTGATCCCCTTGGGGAGATCTTCTCAAGGGCCCACAGATGTGACTATTCTGCCGAGATCGGGGTTCAAACCAGCGACCTTCCGATCAGACGCACAGCTGCTTCATGTGGCCACTTTGGGTGAGGTTTTTGGCCCCCTCCCCCCCTTACAATATCATAAATAAAGAATGTGTGTGGACGGGGGATGGCCACCTAACAATTCAATTTATTTTTATATAGCGCCTTTCACAACAGTGTCACCCCAAGGTGAATTACATGGGTGTGTTGTGATACATTATGACACAACAATATAAAAACAGGGGAAGGGAAAGAAAAAAAGGAAAACCAAGATGACAATGGAGGAGAGGAACCTAAAATTCCCAAGTAGGGAGACAAAAATCTCTGGGGGTCAACTGGCTACCCCACCCCCCTCCCCGATCACGCTAACATCGTTGAAAAAAAGAATTAGAGGTTGTGTTTCTGCCTAAAAAAGTATTTTGAAAAGTTCAAATGAACTTGGGATAGGAGAAATAATGCTGAGACCCACAGCGCACGATCATTCCATCTTGGGAGGGTTAACCCTTTGGTTACTGCCAGTGTCTGGCAGCCCCACACATTGAGGGACATCCAGACCCGCCCCCACCTACCTACCGACACAATGTGTCTCGGGGCTCCCCACAGCAGTGGCGCCATCTAGCTGCTTGCGGTACCCGGCGGGACACTCGGCCACACATGAGCGCCCATCACCTGCCAGCTGGTAGCCGTAGGCACAGGAGCAGCGGAAGGAGCCGGGCATGTTGTGGCACGCCATGGCACATAGACCCCGCCCACCATTCTCGGCACACTCGTCGATATCTGCAGTGGGGGGAATGGCAGTGAGAAAAGGGGGTTCCATAGCTCCCACAGAGCCCCCCCCAGAGTGACTGGGCTCTGACCTTGGCAGTGTCCGTCCAAGGCCCCCAGTTGGTACCCCTCGGGGCAATAGCATCGATAGCTACCTGGTGTATTAACACAGCCAAAAAGACACGTGGCCACGCCCACAGGAAGTTTGCACTCATCTATGTCTAGGGGGAGAGTAACGGGAGGTGGGAGGAGATGGATTACAGGACTTTTCAGGGTATTCAGGATCTTCTGACAATTCTGACCAGCAGCATTATTAACCTGTGACCTTAACCACTACGCCACCTAGTGGACACACAGGTGTCGAGTTTCTTGATTTCCAGTACCTTGGCAGGTGACCATGTCATCTGCAAGCTGGAAGCCAGGGTGGCAGAAGCAGCGGAAGCTTCCAGCGCTGTTGGCACAGTGGTGCGAACAGCCGCCATTGCTGACCACACATTCATCTCGGTCTGTAAACGGGGGTCATGGTTTCACTGCCGTGTGATAAATTCAATAAAACAAAAATTATTTGGGGGTGGGGATGAACCAAGTGCTCACGTGAGAAAAGCTGGGATTTTCAGGCAAAGGGGTGGGATTTGCTAGCATGTCTCAATCCCTCCCTTCCAATACCCCCGTCTCTTCTTATCGAAAGCAATGGGGGCCAAGGTGCATTCTGGGAGCCGGGTCACTAACCAGAGCAGGTCCTCCCGTCACTAGACAGCAGGTACCCCGGACCACAGTGGCACTCAAAGGAGCCGAAGGTGTTGATGCAGATTTGCTGACACGAGTGGGTTTCCTCTGCACACTCATCTTTGTCTGAAAAACTCAATCATATTGGTTCAACATACAGAGGACAAGAACACACATACATGCCATTACTGGTTTCCAGGGAGCAGCACTGGAGTAGTTCTGTGTATGTGTAACCAAAAAGGTCGTCACTGGGGTACCACAGCCAAGCGAAGGAGCAGATGTTAGCCGCCATGCAGCTGGGGACTTTAGGATGTTTTGTATCTCTGTTGCTCTGGAAGTCTGCTGCCGAACAGGGTTGGTGAAGTACTTAGCAGGACCTGCTGCATCTATAATTAGATCTGTGCCACTGACGGCATTTTTATGTCGACCAACAAACTGCAGTTCATGATTTTACAGTATAAAATTGTTTTCAACATTCCAACATAAAACTGATAGGAAAATGGTTAATTTGATTGTACATAAATCCCAATATTAATATATATATATATATATATATATGGGATTTATGTATAATCAAACACACATATATACACACACACCATATCCCAATATTTATTATGATAAATAAATGCTTCCATGTGATGTAACAGGCATACTGACCAATGTTTCCCAATCCTATCTTCAGGGACTCGCAGACAATGCATGTTTTTGCTACCGGGAGCTGGGAGGGAGCAAAAACGTGGACCGTCTGTGGGTCTCCAAGGACCAGATTGGGAAACACTGGTATAGAGAACTCCAGTGACAGGGCCTGTAGTCGTCTCCTGAAGGCCTGTAACCCAGGTGCTGCTACACCATTAACTTGCTTGAGATTTCCCAGAGAAGTTATTGCTAAACGATTACATTCTTAAAACCAGGTACTTTTTAAACAAACACTGCAGTTTTGACGCAGTCTTACATGCCACCCACATTTTCCTGGTGAAGCTGTTTAGATCATTACTGGGAAGAAAAGCAGAAGTACAGAATTGCACCTTTCATGGTTTGGAAAGCTGCTCAGAGCTCGAAGCTGCTTCCTGTTTCTGAAAGCAGACACACCCAAAGCCCCCCTCCCCATCCTCTGACTCGGGGCTCTCCCTCACCTCGACACGTTCGGGCGTCCTCCAGCAGCTGGAACCCCGGCCTGCAGCGGCAGCGAGCCTGGTTCTGGAGGTCGATGTCGCAGAACTGGGAGCAGCCGCCATTGCTGATGGAGCAGGGGATCTCCTCTGAGGACCAGAAGCAGGGGTCATCGGCACGGCTCAGCAATCAACGATGGACGTGGGTTCAGACGAGCTGAATCATCGGACCAAATAAACCTCAGCCATCCCAGGAGCTGCAGGCTCCCCTAAGACCCCTAACCAGTACTGAGCAGAAGTTAGAGCAGAGCAGACATGATCTTCAAATGGATGCATGTAAATTTTGCTTGTCCACAGAAAAGCTTTTTACATGCAGCAAAATGATTACTTTTTAAAGATAGACTTGCTTTCTCCCCCCGTGTGCATGAGCGATGCTTACCTATACAAAGAGGTGTGACGCCACTCCACTTGCCGCCCTGCAGGCAGTAGCTATAAACGTCCCCATTGGCCAATGTGTAACCAGGGTAACAGGCGTACTGCACAAAGTGTTTGTACTGCTGCGGAGTGGGGTTAGCGACCGTGCGGAAGTAGAAAGTCCCGTGAGCCGGCAGAGGCGGGTACGGACACGTTGGCCGTCGCCTGCGCACCCATAATTGTCCCGCGACCTTTAAGACATGAGGACTGCCAGTCATTGGACCCGGCGAAGCATTCACAGTCACAGGAAGGGGGATTTCCCCTAGAGCAGACGACGCGTTGTCCTCCTGGCCAGCCCGGGAAGTCTGCAAAGTCACGGTTCTCAGCCAGCCCACGGGGGAGCTCGTGGACTCAACAAGGCTCCCTGTAGCGGAATCCTCCTGAGTCCCAGTAACAGACACTGGGTTTGGTGGAAAAGTCCCAGTTTCAGGGGGCATCCTGTTAGTGACAACTGCTGGTTCACTCATGGGCCAGCCTGTCCCCAGATCGGGGGCACCAGAGGGCTCTGGGGTGACCTCTCCTGGCAGTGTTAATCCCTCCTGTGTCCTAGCTAATAAAATCCCCTGCCATGCATCATCTTCTCTAAGCCTTGCAGAGACATTAGATCTAGAACTTTCTCCCCAGTCTTCCTTGTAAATTGTAGGCTTCAAAGAGATGAGAGAGTGAAGATCAGAGGAGTCCTTAAACAGGGAATCAGTAGGTGCCAATGTCATAGCAGGGTCTGGAGACATTGCGGAATTGACCCCAGGCTGACCTGACATTTTTCCCTCTTTGGTGTTCACTGATGTGCTAATTTCACTTGGGCTTTTCACAAAGCCTATAGCAGATCCACTACGAAGTTCTTCAGAATCACCATCCATTTCAGTAGATTTTTTCTTCATGAAATACTGGCTTATGTGTTTGCCTAACCCCGACGAAGCTGCATCCATTGATGTTGCACGGCTTTCAGGTACAGACTGAGATGTTGAGATATCGCCCATCGAAGCAGTGAGGAACGTGACATGTGTCTGAAGGTTGGATGCTTGACGGAGGGGAGGATTGGCTTGAGAAAACCCCAGAAATCCAGCCTGGATGATGGATGCTGGCGTGGCCCACGTTTTAGATGTTTCCAGGTAGTGGGTAGCTAAAAATGTACTGACCTCTGGTGTGAAATTCTGATCCTGTAGTTCACTTCCTGTTGAACTATCATATAATTCCAAATTAGACTCTACAGTCAATTCTCTATAACTCTCAGCACCTGGCATTGACGTCTCACTGGGTGCTGGTGGGCCTGCATTTAGGGGTACAGTTTCTGCATTTGGAGCTTCTGGGTCTGGTCTTCTAGCCACAAGCAAATTTGGGCCCACTGTGTGAGCTGGGATTCCCTCTGTTTGTGGAGCCATATCTTCATGGATGCCAGCAACAGGCGATGTTGAGCTTGATTTTGATTCTGGATAAGAAGCTGTTAAGAAGTTAGTCTCAGGGGTTGGAGAAGCAGAGGATGCCAGAAGCTCTTCAGGCTTGGTGACAAATGCACCATAATCTGCTGGTTCCTTATAGGTGTCTTCATATTCTACCCCAGCCTCTGATGTTTGACTCGACCAGTGTTTCTTTGGGTGGTCTCTTTCTGGTGGGATCCTGTTGCCTATCTCCTTCAGCACGTGTTCTTCAACAATTGGCTTGGGGTGAGAGTTCCTCAGAAGCTCTTTGTCCTGCAGTCCAGTCTTGGGTAATGCATCTTTCAGCGGCGTGTTGGCAACATTGTTGTACCAGAATGCAGACAGGTCCTTCGTGGAAAGGGGCAGGTTGGCATTGTGCTCAATGCCGAGACCCAAAAGGTCGAGGTACTTGTGTTTGTCTGAGCTCATAATGTCAGATTCTGAAAGACACACAAGCAGGCAAAAATGGTTCACCTTGTTTTGGTTTGACCAGGCCTGAATAAGCAGAATGAGGGAATTCACTCTTGAAGTTCATTATACTATTATACTAAACCTACACAGGTCATGTTAACAGTGTGCATAGCGGCTACAGGGAATCAAGGTCTGTTGGCATCCTTTCCAGGCCTGTGGTTTACTGAGCAGTGCGGTGCAGTGACCGGCTAGGCAGTGACCGGCTAGGCAGTGACCGGCTAGGCAGGGCAGGCCAGCAGTGGGGTGGGCAGGATACCCACCTTTGCATACCGGCCTGGTGGTGTTCCAGACCCCACCCTGGCAGTAGAGCAGCTGGGGGCCGTAGAGCCTGTAGCCCCCATGACACGTGAAGGCTGCAAAGGAGCCGTCCTGGGTGACAATGCTGCTGCCATGCTGGGGCTGACCAGGATCTGGGCAGCCTGAGGCTGCAGGAGAGGAAGAGCAGGTGGATATCAAGGCAGTGCAATAAATCAGAGCAGTGCTTCCCAATCCGGTCCTCACTGACCCACAGACAGTCCACGTTTTTGCTCCCTCCCAGCTCCCGATAAAAATGTGGACTGTCTGGCAGGGAGCTGGGAGAAAGCAAAAACGTGGACCTCTGTGGGTCAGTGAGGACCGGATTGGGAATCGCTGAATTAGAGTGTAGAGAGATCGACTGTCATCTTTAATGATTCATTGCCAAATCTGGAATTTCATATCATTAATCACAAAGGTCTCTGGGTCTCTTTATGCTTAAACAGGTTTGTAACCGTATAAACATGCATGCCGGACTCCTCACCTCTTTGGGGAAAGCCAATTCACATAAAATATTCGGGGTTCTTCCCCAGACCTACCAACACACACGGGGGGATCCCGAATCCAGCGGCCAGACAGGCAGCTACTGGTCCGATGGCCATGGAGCTTGAAGCCCGGATTACAGGTGAAAGTGACGTAGAGCCCCCCGTACCGGAAGAAGGTGCGCCCATTTGCCAGATGTCTAAAACCATCGCAAGTTCCGACAGCACAGCCTACAGAAGATCAGAGTTAAGCATAGACACCTTAGACAAGCTGGCTGTGTCCGAATTCATAGGCTATGTCCTTCAATGGGTGGGGTCTACATAGCATTTGTGGGCCAAATCTTTCGAAGATTCTTTAAAAATCACCATTAAGAATGGGCACCTTAGAAGCGCTGGCGGTGTCCGAATTCAGGGGCTGCATCCTTTGAAGATTTTCTAAAAATCCACGCAACAAATTTTGGGATATGCTGGGCTGCGAGGGACCCATCGGCTGCGTCCTTCAAGGCCCGGGAAACGAAGGACACATTTCTAGACCGCATTTGAAGGAGCCTTCCGAATGGGACAGCCATATTCCACTGCCGTGACGCATTCCGTCTTGGCATGCAGCCTTAAAAGAGCCCCTGAATTCGGACACAGCTGCTGACACATTGTCCTGTGGTCTTCAGACACCTGTGGCCCTCTGTGAAATGTGATGGTTTCTTTAATTGCATCATTACTGGGAGGGCAGGAATCCAGACAGAAGGAAATATCCAGGGCTCTCCAAGATTCCAGAAAAAAAAGCACACCTCTGTTTGTCCATGACAACAAATAAAAAGAGATGGATTCTCATAGAACCCAACCGCCGCCAAACATTCTAAGCACACGTGGAAGATCAGAGCAAACATACATTCACTGTTAAATTATTTCATATTCTTACAGATTTTGTACGCTTTTGAATAAAAGCAAAACCAAAATACCAATGAACTGCATATCTTGAGAAGAAATCTTTCTTTTTTCTAAAACAGAAACAGTCAAATAACATGTGGAAGGTAAATTATTAATAACAGTAAAAAACACTTTATAAAATATACAGTTACCTCTTCATCCCATTTTATGGAGTAATACATACTATATGCAAACAAAAGTAGAAAACTATTTATAAAAAAAAATCTAAGTGAGGAAAAACTTTCTAAACTACAGATTAAATTCACATATATTCAAAGGCCACACATACATGATTACGAGAATTGCAGTGTTACACATACTTTCACAAATGTGCGAGCTGACCAGTTGAGACATGATTTCCCTTCCTGCGGTCAGGCAGCTATGCAGAGGTCAGAGGTCAGAGGGCTTACCTGGAGGGAGGGTCCAGGTCCAGGACAGGGCCAAAAGCCCCACCAGCCTCACCAGAGCCCCCATGTAGAGGGACGACGGATCCTCAGAGTGGCTGAGTGGAGTTTTGGGTGATCTCTGCTCACACTAACAGCGGCTAAAGGGACGGCCCCTCCTGTAGGAGGGGGTGGGACGAGGATGGGGTACAACTTGCTGGATTTTTACTGCGGACTGACACCCACTCCTCCCCCAAAAGGTTGAAAAGAAAAGCTTAAAACTAAAATTAAAGAAAAAAAATCTCAAGGTTTTCCCATAAATCCTTTGGTGATGAAGACTCTTCATAATGCAGGTTCATTTCCACGGGCTGTCATCCTCCAGGAGGACATGAGAGCCAGAACTTAAAAAAAGCATGGTGATAAACACGCCAGATAATGAGAAGTGAGCAGAGGGGAAGCACTGGGCCGCTCGTGTACACGCATGCAACTGTCTGGGGCAGCAGGTCGCAGCAGATGCAATGAATTATGCAGGACTCCTCCTCCTCCTCATGTACCCTGTTCTCCTCCCAAAGCCATCATTTAATTCCTTGGTCTTTGTCATTGAGGTTCTGGTGAGAGAGATTCATCATGGAGGCCAGCATGTCCCTCTTCTCTCCTCCTGGGGCTGCACAGCCTGATTTTCCTGTTGATTCCACGCCTCCTGTGGGTCAGTGCAACGAATACCAGGCATGGTCTGACTGGACTGGAGGTGACGTCTAAATACCCAACAACGGGGCAACAGTAAGGGGACACTGTGACACACGGTCTGGGTGAAGAAGCCTTTTCTGAGGAAGCAGTGTGTGTGTGTGTGTGTGTGTGTGTGTGTGTGTGTGTGAACACATACACCCGTACACATGCACAAATATAGGCGCACATTCCCAGCCCAAGTCAAATGGCGCATTGAATGTTTCTTCAACAGCACATCAACATTTCTGAACAAAGGCAACTCCTTCCATGTCCATGCTGGTGAGGAGCATTGGGAATGCCGTGCAGATCTTAAAATGGAGATTTTATTATGATGGAAATAAACCCAACCAGGCCGTTGGTCACAGAACATCATTAGGGAACGGTTGGAGCACATTGACCTATCAGACCGGTCAGGTGATACAGAAGAGAAACCAATCCAGGTTTTAAAATATTCAAAATCCCAATGTTACATTCAGCTTGTTGCACGTGTCCAGACATGTGTTTGCTTGTTTTGGTTGATTTAGTCCTGGATCGATGACAGTGCAGTTAATGAGGCTACATCATCGTTTCAAAGAGTCCACAGTTAGTCTACGTTTATAATTTCAGACAAAAGGAATCGCAAATGAGAAACAACAAAAGACCAAAACAGATTCAAATGAAGCAAAGGCCGCACGCACGGTGTGGACTGGGCCTGGATCTGCATAACAGCCCACAGTTCTGTCACATCTGTTCAGAAGCCTGTTTGAAGGTTCAGGGGCCAATCAAAGCCAGACTGTCGGAGCTGTAAATGCATTCTTGGGCCACAAAGACCATCATACGTGTCCTTCTCAAGCTTTGTAAGGCTCTCTCGATGTGCTGAGCAGACTTTAAATGCCATACGAACAGGACAAGATGGTTTACTGCCAAGCAGATGGTCTAGTTCAGGGATCTTCAAATCTGGACCTCAAATCCAAATCCAGGCCTTGTTTTCAAAGCTCTCAGGTAGTTAGTTTAATAATTACTGATTCTGATTGGTCACAGAGGCTCACAGGTAAAGGAAGGCTGGAAAATCAGCAGGGCTCAGACCTTGAGGATCGTGATTTGAATAGCCCTGGTCTAGTTCATATAACTTAAATGTTTTAAAGTGCAGCTTTTGGTCATGCATCCATTTCTGTAATCATTACGTCTTTGCCTTGTCCAGAGAGACTGTCTCTCCAAGGTTCTCTAGACTGCTCAGACCAGCAGTAGTTCAGGGGAGCTTCTCCACCAAGCTACTCCATGCACTGTGATTGAGCTGCTATCTGCCTGCCTGCCCTCTATCATCCCTGCTGCTTCTCCTTGGTGTCCAGCTTGTGCACCACCCGGAAGGCCTCCAGGAATTCGTTGAAGTCGATGCTACCATCCTTGTTGTAGTCAATGCTGCGCGCCAGGTCGTCGATGGCGCTGTCGTCCACATCCACGTTCAAGTGCGAACTGAACAGCTTCCAGGTCTGGCGGAACTCATCAATGGAGATGAGGCCTAGGGCGTAGGGGTTTGGTCACGTGACATCCCACACAGAAAGTGAAGCCAGCCAGAAGCTGAACCTTGCTCAACATCCTCAATGAAACAGGAATTAGTATTTGACTAACTTTACCTGAATGATCTTTGTCAATGATGTTGAATACAATTTCCAGGTCAGTTCGGTATCTGTACAGAGTTTCTGCCAGGTTTGGAGAAATCTAAACCCACAACAAAGAACACTTTCTCTCAGACATGACTGGGCTCTTTTCGGATGTTTAATAATACCTGTCACTACAGGATCTGAGTCATGCATGTGCAAGCTGGTCTTGGGGAATCGCGGTCCCCCTTAAGATATTAAACTATTCTAGTAATAAAGGACTTTCGACCATCTGCCAAACCTACACCCTTACCAATAATAGACAGTTAAGGCCCATCTCATGCACTTGCATAATTTTTCATAAAATGGCTGATTACCTTCAATTGTCTGTGTTGACACTGGCAAAGCTCCTCATGGGAACTGAATATACATTTTTTGTATTTAGCTTGCTTTTACTCAGTTTTCAGTCTTAGTTATTTTTCAGTTAGTTTTTAGTTGCTTTTGTATTTGGCTTTCAGTGCTGGTGCATGTATGACTCAGAACCTGTAGTGACAATGTCTACTGTACACTGCAGCAGAAGGCAGGACTGCCGGGTCGGACCTGGGGAACAGGCTGGCCGGCGCTCACGTCCTCAAAGCAGGACTGGTACTCCACAGCGCCATCTGGGGCCAGGCGGGCCAGCCGCGGCCGCAGCGTCCTCCAGGGCAGGTCCAGTTTCAGGACCGACTCTGTGGCCTGGGCCCAGTCTGTGATGGAAATGCAGCCTACAGGGACAGAGGCGCGATTGGTGTATGGGCCCATCACAGCAGACAGCAGGCATGTGCTATTTACTCATTAATCTGTTGAATGGGAGCATTATGTGGATTGCAGTTTTCGTCTATTCAATCCGGCAGGCTAGAGAGGCTCAGATCTGAGTGGGCAGGCCAGGCCCTCTCACCTGTTTTATTCACATCATATTCCTGGAAGGCAGCCATCAGCTCTGAGCGATGAGCAAACAGCTTCTCCTTAAGGGATTTCAGAGCAGAGCTCTCAGCTACACTTACCCTGTGAGGACACGGACACGGACACACACACACACACACACACACACACACGATTCAAATCAAGCTCAGGGAGACTCATCACTATGCTGGGTGACACTGAGCCTTTGATGAGTATCTATGATCAATGAACTGCGTTCTGACCCTGAAGAATATCAACAAACGGCACATGATCAACCATGAGGGCCAGAAGCTTTTGAGTTTTTGCGAAGGTGGCTTACAAGAGATCAGAACCTTCAGGATCCATCAGACTGACCTCTGGTGAAGGGTGAGCTTCCTGGTGCAGCGGCTGACCTGGTACTGGAAGAACCGCGGCACCATATCTGGACCCAGTTTCACGTAGGCACCACGGTTGCTGCCTTCCTCGTAGTAGTTGGAAGCAGAGAAAATGGTGATTACCTTTGGAAACACAAAGGGGAGAACACCTTTGACAAAATGGCCGACCGCGTACAGCAGGAAGTATGAGTGGCTTTTAGGTGCCGGCAATTTTTACTCAAAGGGTGAATTCACAGGAAACCACAGCAGCAAGTAATAAAAAATAAGGTCAAGTAAATATTATGTCCCTTCAGAACTCCCAGTGGGTGGGACTAGTCTGCAGTGTCAGACACTGATTGGGCAGCCCTGCCTGTAAATGAAAACCGATGGCGCCCATTAAGCGAAACCGGTGCGTGACGGGCAGCAAACATGATGAAAGCTGGTTGATATCCTGGGTGTGTGTGTGCGCGTGTCTGTGTGTGTGCGCGTGTCTGTGTGTGCGTGTGCGCGCGTGCAGCACCTGGCCATCGTGGCAGAACTCATAGCCCTCCTGCTTGCACTCGTGTGAGCGGATCAGCAGCTGCAGTCCGTGCCTCTGGAGCAGCCGACGAGTCACATCGGGCCCGAAGTAGCAGCCGCCTCCACGGAAAGTGTTGGCCGTGCAGCCGTCCTGCTTCTTGGGGTCACTCCAGAGCAGGTCCACGATCTGAAAAAGCCCCTGGTGATACTTCCTTGCCTTGCCAGTATCTAAACCTTTTTTTCAGCTGGGGGCCTCCGGGACAGAGAACAGGAGCACCTGACGCACCTGCTTCCACCCGGCTTCCTCCCTGGGGGGCGCCAGACTCGCCACGGCCACGATGGAGTCCAGGAACGGCAGCTGCAGGAGGTCTGTGGGGCTGGGCACCCTGGGAGAGGGCAGCGGGCTGCTCCAGACCTGCGAGGCACCACGTGGGGAGCTGATCGAGGAGGACGAGGAGGAGGACGAGGAAGATGAGGAGGAGGAGCCACTGCTCGGCTTCCTTCGTCGGCACCTCCTCTTCCGGGTGCCCCCGCTTGGACCGCCAGCTGACCGCAGGCTCCCCGCTTGGCCACAGATCTTCTCAAGTCCCCTCTCTGCCTCGACATCCTCAAAACTCTTTGGCAGTCTGAGCACAGACTTTATCTGTAAGAAAGGAAAAGCGGATACATGAATGCTCAGGGCGCCCAGAGCAGCGAGCTGGGCTTCTGACGGCACGTGGCGGGGTCCGGTCCATCCTGACGGAATCACGTCCTGCTGAAGACTCACTCTCCTTTCGCAGTGTTTAACTAATTTGCTAATGGGAATAATTGTAACTGTGAAAAAAATAGATGTTCCTAATTGCCTTTGAGTTTCCTCTTTTACATAATTAAAGCAGCCTTGATGTAAATTAATTACTCATCCATAGCCCTTCAATGATCATCTAAAAAGGCATAAATTAAAATTAATTACAAAATATAGGCTATTCAGATTTTTTTAAAGTTACAAACTACCAAATAATGGAAACAGATTCGCACATACATTTCTGGTCAATTAAAAACTAGAATCTTCAACTTAATGTAATGCATAACGTGACTGAGATATATCACATTAATATCACACGGCAGCCTAATTAGCTTAGATATCTGTACCTCTGGCCACCTCCTAGCAGCTGCTAACCCAGTCATGCTCACCTTTTGCCTCTCAATGGAGCCAAGGAACTCCAGGTCTGTCATGTCAGAGATGCCACCGTGGACGATCAGCACTTTGTCATCGATCACCGTTGCCACGGGCAACAAGCTGAAGATGTCCTGCAGCAGCTGCAAGATTTGCCTTCCATGGGTCTGGGATGGACAGTAAAAGGGTTTTTTTTTTTCTTGACAGGTAATGATACACTTTGAACTTCGCCCAAAACTAGGCTTCTATTTCCGTTTAAAGAAATGTTTTCCCTTCATTGCTAGAAAAAGACTAGTATAGCACCTTCCTATCAGTATTAGATTATGGTGATGTAATATACATCCATGCACCTTCATATTTAAAGAAACTAGATGTTATACATCACGCAGCATTGAGGTTTATAACTGGTGCAACAGCAAGAACACATCACTGCAATCTATATGAGATGGTGGAGTGGACATCACTGCATCTTAGAAGGAACATGCATTGGCTGGTTTTTATTGCAAAGGCTTTAATGGACAAATTACCTCAGAGTATATCTAGTTTGCTGACATTCTACACTAATACATACAGAACCCGCTCATCAGTTAAACTTCTCCTTCAGCCTCCCACCACACGAACAGAACTGAGGAAACCGGCCGTTCGTTCTTATGCACCA